GGAGAGTTGTGAGGTTCGAACTCCAGCAACCTGAGGCTGACAGCTTTGTGGAAGCAGCCACTTAAAGGACTGAGCTAGGGCCAGGCCCCCAAATAAGTCTATGGTTTCTTTCTTTTTTTTTTTTTTGCGGAACCGGGGATTGAACTCAGATCCTTCCATTTGCCAGTCAAGCGCTTATCCTACTGAGCCATCTCCCCGGCCCGTGATGGATTCTCTATACCCAAAGACTTACTTGTTTTCAAAGAAGATGGTGACAGAGTCTTCATGGACATCCTTTACAAAGCCCTAGAATAAATTTTAGAAAAAAAGCAAAAATGTAAAATGGCATTTCACCATTACCTTAGCAATCAGGGGCAGAGGGACAGTGGGAAATTTATTTATTTATTTTTGAGTCGGGGTCTTGCTATGTAGTTCAGGCCAGCCTTGAGCTCACAACAGCCTTCCTATCTCAGAACCCCAAGTACTAGGATTACAGATACATGACACAACACCTAGCTTGGAAACCAACTATCATTATAGGTGGGGACACAGCAGACTGGGAAGACATGGCCCAAAAGGCTGTACTGGAAAAAAAAAAAAAAAAAAAAGAAATGTGAGATAGAGAAAAGAAGTAAGTACAACCACTATGAAAAATATCATAGTGATTCCTCAATAAAGACAGAAATTCCATTCAACCCAGCTAGTCCGCTTCTACATATCTTCACAAAAAGGACTTCATATTATAACAATACCTACATACCCAAGTTTATAGCAGTACAACTCATAATTAGCCATAATTAGCTAAAATATACAGGAAGCAGGTGATGTGTCTGTCAACAGATGAATGGATAAGGAAAATGTATCTATACACAAGGGAGTATTACTCTGCTATAAAAAAGGATAAATTTGAAATAAATCAGACACAAGCTTAAATATCACATGGCTTCTCTTACATGAGAAACTAAAATATAAAAAACACAAAAGGTAATAGGAAAAATATCTTTCACAAATGGGAAGAGAACTAAGATGAAGGGATGGGGAAGGTGATCAGAAGGGGATATAAAAAGAATTAAGATGTATTTTGTACATGTGTCAACTGCCTACAATGAATGCAGTCATTATGTATAGCAAACATGTACTAAAATATTTTTAAAAAGAGAAAATGATACTTCTACAAAGAGATGTGGCAAATTCAGAAAAACAGAATGAGAATTAGACAAAAAGATGACACCTGCAATAACAACAGCCTGCAAACTGGTGGTCCACTATGGGTCCCAGAGGCCTTCCTATCTGTCTCCTATGTGCTGAGCGGTCTGCCAAAGTTCAATTAAAATGCCAGTAACATTCACCAAGGCTAAGAATATCCCATGAGACAGTGTGAAGGCTCCCCTGGAACACCTAAAAGGACATTCGGATCTGCCAAGAGAAAGAAGATTCTAGCTCCCCAACACAGCAAGAGATCAGAGCAGACTTGGGGATGGTTGGGTCCTTGTAGAATACTCAGGACACTGGACAAGTTCAAAATAATATACAGAAAAGGACTGAAAAGGTGTCAGATTTTTGAATGCTGGAAAAATGCTGAATTTGAATAGTATATATAGAAGACCCCAATCTTGAATCATGACAAGGTATTGGCTCCATCCCCCATTTTTTATGTCCTGAGGACAAGTTACTTGCTCAAACCTACACCCTAATTTTTCTGTCCTATTTTTACACACTGAGATTTGTAAAGACTTCAATTTATGAAGTCTTTCCTGAACTATTTCATATAAAAGAAATTTCTTTAATTTAAGGCCACAAAGATTTTCTACTGTATCTTCTAGAAGTTTTGTAACTTTTTGTCTTACATTTCAGGTCTATAATCTACTTTTCACAAATTTTACATGTGGGGGCTGGGGAGATGGCTCAGTAGAATAAGCGCTTCCCTGGCAAGCGCAAGGGCCTGAGTTGAATCCTCGGTTTGGGGGGGGGTGGGGATTTACATATCATGCAAGTATTTTTTTTTTTTTTTTGCGGAACCGAGGATTGAACTCAGGCCCTTGCGCTTGCCAGGGAAGCACTTATTCTACTGAGCCATCTCCCTGGCCTCTCATGCGAGTACTGATCTGGTATAATTTTTACCTTTGGATATCCAATTGCTCCACCAACTACTGATAAAACTATTGCTTTTTTGGCAGAACCAGGGATTGAATTCAGGCCCTTACACTTGCCAGGCAAGTGCTTATTCTATTGAGATATCTTCCCCAGACCCTGATAAAACCATGTTTTCACTTTTGCAGGAATCAGGTGTTAATTAATGTGAAATGCAACTCTGTGACTGGGGCACTTTATTTTTGATAAGACTTTCACTAGGTAGTTAAAGCTGGCCTCAAACTTGCAGCGAACCTCTCCTGCCTCAGTCTCCAGAGTGCAGGGATTAATGCACGGGTCATCACATACAGCTTAGTGGACTTTTGAGTCAGAAATGTTCATTATCTTAACATAATATTTTCACTGTTATGATGTAGAGATGTATGTCAAAACTTAACAAACTGCACATTTTTAATATCTGTATTTGTTCAAGACCAGTCTGGGCAACTTAGCAAGACCTTGTCTCAAAATTTATTTATTTTTGCAGAACCGGGGATTGAACTCAGGCGCTTGCGCTTGCCAGGGAAGCACTTATTCCACTGAGCCATCTGCCTGGCCCCCTCAAAATTTAAAAAGGACTAAAAGCTTTAAAAATTAGAGAGTTTGCACAGGGTTGTAGGTTAGTGGTATACACTCAGTATGCACAAAGCCCTAGATTGAATCCCCAGCATCCCCTCTTTCCAAAAATAGGGGGTCTCCAAAGTTTTAAGGATGGGGCCGGGGAGATAGCTCAGCAGTCTAAGTGTCTGCCTAGCAAGTTCAAGGACCCAAGTCTGATCTCTGGTACCACATGCCCTGCTGGCCTCACGTGGTGGCGCACGCCTATAATTCCAGCAATGGGGAGGCTGAGACTGGAGGATCACGAGTCCAGGTTGCATAGACCCTGTACCAAATAAATAAAGATTAAAAGTTTAAGGACAACATCAGACATGGTGATGCACACCTATAATTCTAGCACTTAGGAGGCTGAAGCAGCAGGGATCACAGAGTTCAAACCCAGCCTGGGTTACGTAGGCCAACCTAAAAGATTAAACATGTCTTGGGGCTGGTGAGATGGCTCAGTGGTCTAAAGCACCTACTTAGAACAAGCTTAGCAAAGCACAGGGACCGTGGTTCAATCCCCCAGCACCACATGCCAGCCAGTCCCGCCCCCTGGTGGGCTGAGCTGGCCACACACACACACACACACACACACACACACACAAATAAAAATAAATAAATTAAAAAAAAGATTAAACATGTCTTACTCTCAAAGAAAAAAAAGAAAGAAAAAAAAAAGGTCTAGGGATGAACTAGGCATGGAGCATGGTGACAAACATCTATAATCACAGAACTCAGTAGGCTGAAGGAAGAGGATTACCAAGAGCTCAAAGCCTGCCTAGGCTAAACAGCATTCATTTATTTATTTGAGAGAGAGAGAGAGAGAGAGAGAGAGAGAGAGAGAGAGAGAGAGAGAGAGAGAGAGAGAGAGACCAGCTCAGCCCACCAGGGGGCAGGGCTGGCTGGCATGTGGTGCTGGGGGATTGAACCGCGGTCCCTGATGCTTTTGCTAAGCTTGTTCTAAGTAGGTGCTCTAGACCACTGAGCCATCTCTCCAGCCCCTAAACAGCATTCAAGGCTAGACTGAACTACATACTGAGACCCTATCTTTTTCATAATTAATTAAAAGTGTGTAAGGTCAGTTGGGCGTGGTAGTACATACCTGTAATCTTACTACTGTCATGGCATAAAATACCACAATTATGGCTCCTTAACTATGTTTTATATTTTTATGACATTCTTTTTGCCAAAAGGATTTAACCTCTATTCATAAACAATACCCACTGCTTTTAGTCTGCCCAAATAAGTCTTATGGGGGTACTTTCACTATCTATCTGGGTCATTCTTCCCTTTTACATTCTTTCCTTAGTTTAAGGGCCTTCCTCCCTCTTTCTACAACTACTAACATATCCCTTATCCCTTTCTCCTTTTTTTATTTTTGGTGTCTGGGATTGTAAGCTTGTAGCATATCCCAGCTTTAGCTTCTGAGACCTAGCATCAGGCAAACAGAGGAAGAGATCTCTAGTTTCCAGATACTTAATTCCCCAAATTAGAAGACAGGAAACTGGTTCCCACCTGTACTGTCTTGTGCTATGAAGCTCTCAAAGAGAACTCTAGGAGAAAAGCAGGAAGAGTCTAGGTAAAAAAACTACATTGAAGTTGAAGCCTCAATCATTAAGGAATGAACAGGGTTGAATATGTGGCTCAGTGGCAGAGCTCTCTTGCTTAGCATGTGTAAGGCCATGAGTTTAACTCCCAGTACCACAAAAACACAGCCAAAGAAGGATGAGAGTTAGGATATCCAGGCAATGTCCAGAAAGTAAAATGGCTGTGTACTAAAAAGGTAAACATATTTCATTTGGAAGAATATGATTTTTTTTTTTGCAGAACCGGGGATTGAACTCAGATCCTTGCGTTTGCCAGTCAAGTGCTTATCCTACTGAGCCATCTCCCTGGCCCCAGAAGAATATGATTTAAATAAAAATGATACTATCTCCTGACAAAAAAGATTGTGGGACATTTACAAAATAACTTAAATCCTATGCTTAGCATCTATCCTGAAAGAAACTCAAAAGAGACACCAATTCTGAGAGAAGAGTAAGGGATCTCCCCAAATTTGTAGTTCTAGAAGCAATGTAGACACTCTGACCCACACGGAAATTTGCTGAGTCATGAATATTAAATCAGTAGCAAGGCCAGAATAGATGTACCTACAAGGGACTGAGAGCTGAAGTGTGAAGTTAGAGATTTGCTGTTTTTAACTCAGTCATGGAGCATAGATGCCTCAATGGCCAGAACAGAAAATCTACAATTCCTGGCTTTAGGCTCAACTCTAAACGCTGCTCTCTAATCAAACTATTCTGGCCCTTATTCATTCAAGTTATTCTATCACTGCCATAGCCCATACAAGAAAAGGGGAAGATTAAGACATGCTTTTTGTTCCACATCCATATGTAGAAAAAGAAATACATCCCTTCCTATTTATTTCATACAATAACTTGAACTGGACACCAACCTTTCCCAGCTAGGGAAATCTTTCCCAACAAGGTTCTCCTATCTCCTAAACAAAATCAAGCATATCTTAATATCCCACTCAATTTAAGAATCACTTTCTGAGGCTGGGAACTGAGTTCAATGGAAAGATCTTAGCTTCTAGCCCCAGTACTGGGGAGGGAAAATAAAAATCATTATTGGAATTCAGAATTCAGGGGTGAAAACCAGATGGACAACAAGATAATGGGGAAACAGGACTAAAAAAAAAAAATTTTTTTTTTTTTTTTTTTTTTTTTTGTGGAACCAGGGATTGAACTCAAGCCCTGGCAAGCACTTATTCTACTGAGCTATCTTCCCAGCCCCATCAACTGAAATCTTATAAGGAAGAGTACTCCAAAGGTAAAGCAACTTTCAGGGCAAGGATATGAGAGACAAATGTGCTCTGTCGGAACCAGAAAGGAATTAGAGCATTTTTGCCAAAGAAAACAGCAATGTTTGTAGAAGGCATGCTACAATAAAAAGTCCCAGGAGTTATGAAAGTATGCAGAAAATGACAAGATCAGCTGGGAGCTTCCTTCAGCTAGGAACAGATTATACAGGAATACCACAATATTAGAATAAAATCCCAAAACTTGAACTGGAAGGCTAAGGGAAGGCAGATATGGAGTACTCATAGACCCTAAACATAAAATGTGCAACCCCATCTACTCCAAGGGCAAATGCAAGATCCTTTCTGGCTACAGTAAGATGATTTAATAGAAGAGTTGTCAGAAAAAATATCTAAGGGCACAAGACATACAAAGGTCTACTGTGGGTGAAAAGACCTGAGGGGAGCTAAAGGAAAGCGGGTTTGTCTTACACCTAATATGAAACGTACTGTTCTTCTCCAGTTCCTCTGGATGAAACAGGGGTCTGAAAGTCTGAGACAATTCTAGGCATAAAATCCAAAAGAGACCAAGAGATGGAAGGAGAGATGAGGGAGGGTATGGGAAAGGGAAGTAAAAAGAAGATGTGTTGTGCACACATACCAACTCACCATGATGGACATAATGCAAACGTGCTAATACAAAAAGTTCAGAATACCACCAGTCACACAAAAATTCCTAGGAGGCAAAAAGGGTCTCTTGCTCAATCAAGTAAGAAAAATGTCCTACAGAATAGATTCAGGCTAGATAAAAGGTGTGAGTAGAAGGAGTTCTTTGCAGCCAAATCCTGGGAAAGAGAGAAGATGCAACAATCAATAAGAACCTTCTTTTCTTTCCAAAAAAAAGGCTGTCAGATTTGGGATTGGGAGAGTTAAGTCAAAAGCTTTCCAGAAGCAGAAATCTTTGAAAAATATAAGGATCCTGATGAGAACTCCTTTAAGAGATCATAAATATGAAGTTTACACTTCTGAAGATGAAAGAACTATACAAATGATTTGTATGTATGTGACATCAAAGTGAATATACCAAATACAAGCCCATCCCAGAGCAGAATGGCAGACAAACTGGCCTTTAATAAAGGTGTGAGGGGGTGACTGGCTTGTGAAAACAGTCCACTTTATGCCTGGGTGAAGAGGCAACCTGACTAATACTGAGGCCAAAAGATGCCAAATGTCATAGATGGATTTTGACTGTTTCTCCTTGGGCTGGTGAAAATAGGATGAGTGGTCAAAAGGCAGAAAGCAGAGGTCCCCCCCTGAAGATTAAAGAATCTAACATGGGACAGAATTCTTCAAGTTCTGGGACTGCAGAGAAGATGTGATTAAAGACTAATGCATGTCTTTCACTAGGAAACAGAAAAGTCAATCAGATGGTGGGTAAAGAGTTTTCTCCTGGAGGGTGGGAGTGAGGATCCAGAAATAATGCCCTAAATGTTTATTCCCTCAGTGCTGGGGGTAAAAGGAAGTGTATGGGGGTGGTCAGAAATAAAGAGAAAAGGGGGCTGGGTCACAGGAGTATCCCTGGGGACTGCGGGTGGGAGCAGGAGTCGAAGGTTCTAAGGGTCAACTTAGCCCCAGAAGCTCGATCCCGCCCCACTCCTCTCCCCTGCTCCTGCTGGGGGGAGGGGGCTACCGCGGGTGGCCCTGGTCGGCGCGCCGCCTCACCTTGTAGAAGGCCCCGTTGGAGCCACGCACCTCGACGGGCAGTCCTGGCTCCACATCCCCCCCAGAGGCCAGGCCGCCCATGGCGCCACCACCACCTCCGGCGGCGGCGGCTGTAGCAGCGTTCTGAGTGCGGACCGGGCCGGGTCCCCGGCGTCTCCCCGGAGGAGGAGCCGGAGGGGGAGCCGCGGGGGGCGGGAGCCGGGCCGGCCCCACGGCGGCCCTGCCACAGCCAACGAGCAGGGGGCCAGGGCCGGGCCGCTCCCCGTCCGCCGCTGCCGCCTTGGTTTCCGCCACCGTGAGGGAAACGGCTGCCGCCGCCGCTGCCTTCGTCACCTCAGCTTCCGCCCGCCGCCGCCCCTGCTGCTGCCTCAGTCCCGGAACCCGCTGCTGCCGCTGCCGCTCCACAGCCTCCACCTCCCCCTGCTGCCGCCGCCGCCACCACCGCCTACTGCGCAGGCGCACCGAGCACCCGCCCGCTGCGCGCGGGGCCTGAAGGCCACGGCGCAGGCGTCAGAGCGGGCGACCCGACTCGCGCTAGCCAGCGCATCAGGGATTCCACACTCCCTTCCTCTCTCTCACGCCCCCTCCCGGTCACTTCCTGGCGCTTGCGCAGAACAAAATGAGCGCTCTTTCTTCGCCCTCCCACCACTCCACCGTCCGTAGCCTCTCCTTTCCCCGCCCCACAACACTGAGAACTAACCAATCATGGGGAGGGAGGGGCCGAGCTCTCTCTTACAGATTGGCCTTCGGCCGCCCTAGCCATGCCACACCCATTAATCCTCCACTTCACCACCCGGCACCCGCGAGTTAGGGGTGGGCATGCGCCTGAGTGACTGCTTGGTCACTTTCCCCACCTTTGTCTTTCTTGATGCGCACGCTCCAAAGGGAAAAAAGAGTCTTTGCGAGGAAGAAGGTTCCTTGTGCACACGCGCTGGAATTTGCCTTCCGCGCTCAGGTGTTGACTCTTGCAAACGTCTGAAGCTGGATTTAAGAGTCACTGTTCATAGCTTGAAGAGATAGTGTGGTATAACTTCAAGGTCATTCCGAAAAGCAGATGCAACAAGCTTCAATATATAAATGCTGAGGAAATTTCAAAATAAGAAAAATTGCCACGCAGTAAGGATAGTACTGTGAAAATGTGTATTTGTGTGTGTGTGTGTGTGTGTGTGTGTGTGTGTGTGTATTCCTAGCTGAAGGAACAGCGCTCTCATGCGCTGGGGATTGAACCCAGGGTTTTGTGCATGCTAAACACTGACTGTCCCACTAAGTTACACTCCCAGCCAAACTTGAGATTCACTAGATGCGAATAAAATAAAGACGGACATTACAACTATACGCCTTTAATCATTTAGCAAATATGTACTATGATCCAATGGTTGTGCTCAGAGGAGTACATGGTTCCTGCTCTTAAGGAATTCATTACAGATTGGGAAAGAAGCAGACAGCATATAAATGCAAAGAACTTGATTGAAAATGTGGTGAAAAAAAAGAAAGAAAGAAAATGTGGTGGAGGGGCTGGTGGGATGGCTCGGTGGTCTGGAGCACCTACTTAGAATAAGCGAAGCTGAGCAAAGCACAGGGGCCGCGGTTCGATCCCCCAGCACCACATGCCAGCCAGCCCCGCCCCCTGGTGGGCTGAGCTGGCCACACACACACACACACACACAATAAATAAATAAATAGATAAATAAATAAATAATTTTTTTAAAAAAAAGAAAGAAAATGTGGTGGAAATAATAATGTCCAGGGAGAGAAGGAAATTCTAGGAGACTTTTTTTTTTTAAGACAAGGTCTTGCTTTGTAGTGTTGGCTGTCCTCAAACAGGCATGCAGCATTATGCCCAGCAAAGGAGCAAAGGAGACATCCTTAACTGTTTTTAATGATCAGGAGCCAGGCACGGTGATGGTACATGCCTGTAATCCCATTTACTCCGGAGGCTTTCAAAGGCTAGCCTAGGCAACTTAATGAGATCCTGTCTCAAAAATAAAAAAGCGTTAGCCAGGCGTGGTGACACATGCCTGTGATTCCAGCAGTTGGGTGGCTGAAGCAGGAGGATCACCGCAAATTCTAGGCCAGCCAAGGCTATAAAGGGAATTCAAAGCCAGCCTGAACTACATAACAAAACCCTGTCTCAAAAAAGCAAAAAATAAAAATAAAATAGGCTTAACATGTAGCTCAGTGATAAATTGCTTGCCTGGCATTGGTAAAACATGGGGCTTGACCTTAGTGAGCCCTCAAACCGTGAGATCTAACACCCTCTCTAGGCAGATATCATCAAAACAATGAACTTGGAGAACACCCAGCTGGCATCGGAAAGCATTGCTTGCTTGCTGGTGGAATAAAACGTTCATGCTTTTCAAGGTCACTGAAGTCTTCTGATGTTAACTTTTTTGCTTGAGAGCACTAAGGATGGACTCCAGGAACTTCACATTGAACTATGTCTCCAGCCCTTTTTTATTCTTTATTTTGAGCGAGCTCTCAGTAAGTTGTCAAGCTGCCCAGTTGCCCGTACCGGGCTCAAATTTGCAAGCCTCTTGCTTCTGCTTTTTGAGTGGTGGAATTATAGGCGTGTAATACCATACTAGGCTATTTTTTAGTTTTCTGACATGTAGTCCAGGTTAACCTCAAGTCACATTCCTCCTGTTTCAGTTTCCCTGATGTTGGGATTATAAACATAACCTGACCTATATTTTTTTCACATTGAAATTATTTTACTTTTTGGTGTTAAGTGTTGTACCCAGGGCATATCACATGATAATCATATGCTTTTTCTTTTTTTTTAATTAATTATTTATTTATTTATTTATTACATTTATTTAGTGTGTGTGTATGTGTGTGGTCAGCTCAGCCCACCAGGGGGTGGGGCTGGCTGGCATGTGGTGCTGGGGGATCGAACCGTGGTCCCTGTGCTTTGCCAAGCTTGTTCCAAGTAGGTGCTTTAGACCACTGAGCCATC